CTCCTCCAGTGCGGTTTTTATGGCCAAACGTTTTCGATCTCCAATATCGTAATCCCTTTCTGCCGATGTAAGTTTCCTCGAGATGAACTGGGTACAGGAGCTCCTTGGTGCCTTTTCTCTGGGACAGGATGGCTCCTACTGCATTTTCCGAGGCATCAACTTCCAAGACATATGGCAGGGAGGAATCAGGATGACTGAGAATGGGAGCGGTGGTGAATAATCCCTTCAGAGTTTCAAATGCCGCTTGAGCCTTGGGTGTCCACTTGAAACGGACCCCCTGTTTGGTCAGCTGGGTAATGGGGGAAACCAGACCAGAGAAGTTCCTGATAAACTTTCTATATAAAAATTTGCAAAGCCAATAAAGCGTTGCACGTCCTTCTTGTCTGCGGGTACTGGCCAATCCAAGATTGCCAAGACTTTCTGTGGATCCATCGCAACCCCCGTGGTGGAGTTGATCAGCCCCAGGAACACAATACTGTGCTGCTCGAAGCTGCACTTGTCAGCTTTAGCGTACAGTCCGTGTTGGCGTAATCGTTCCAATACACTTGTAACATGACCCCTATGAGCTTCAAGTGAGGGAGAGAAGATTTTTATGTCATCTAAATAAATGACCACGAAGACATCAAGATAATCTCAAAATACATCATTGATGAAGTGCTGGAACGTGGCCGGGGCATTGCAGAGTCCGAATGGCATGACCAAATACTCGAAATGGCCAAATTGAGTACGAAACGCCATTTTCCACTGATCCCCCTCCCTTATACAGACCAGATTGTATGCACCCCTTAAGTCTAGTTTCATAAAGATCACTGCTGATTTTTAGTCTCTGGAAGAGTTCTGGGACCAGAGGCAGTGGGTAGCGATTTTTTATCGTGATTTTGTTCAAAACGCGATAATCAATGCAGGGCCGCAAGGACTTATCCTTCTTCTCAACAAAAAAGATTCCAGCCCCGGCTGGTGACATGGAGGGGCAGATGAACCCCTTTTGGAGGTTCTCATCGATATACTCCTTGAGGACCCCTAGTTTTAGCTCAGACAGGGGGAGAATCCGACCGAACGGAATCTCAGAACTGGGTAGGAGGTCAATGGGACAGTCATATGTTCGGTGTGGAGGAAGGATGTCTGCCCCCCGTTTACTAAAGACGTCCAAACAACGGTGGTAGGCTAGAGGGATGGCCTAAATTAGGTTGGTATCTCCGTCCATGCATAGGAGGAATTGGGGAGCCGTGGGGGCTGAGGCGTAGCAGTGTTCCTGACAATACAGGGATTGGAACTGAATGGACCTGGTTTCCCAATCAATCTGGGGGTTATGGGCCCGCAACCAAGGAAGCCCCAGAATGACTCTGAAAAGAGGGGAGGCTATAGCGTCCAGTCGGAGGAACTCCTGATGATGGCCAGCTACTGTAGTGCAGATAGGAGGAGTCTCCCGCTCTGCCAACCAACAGAAAATCCCCCTCCAGACTAGGGAATAGGGTCTTAAAATATTTTTGGCTGACGGGTCACGTATCAAGTCGGGGTTGGTAAAGTCTAAATCCACAAAGCAACTGCATGCCCCGAAATCAATTATTGCCGTCACCGACATGGTTCTTCCTGGGAGCTGAAAGGAAACAGGTATGGCTAAGTAATTGGACTGGTTGAGACCTTCAGCAGATACAGAAGAAAAAATAGAGGCAGACTTATTCATTTTCACTGGGCAGGAACGCTTCTCCACAGTATAGTCACAGATTCCTAGACTGTCTTCTCTGGCATTCCTCAGCCGACAATGATGGCCGAGCCAATCCAAGCTGCATGGGTTCGGGGGTATCCTCAGGCTCTGAGATCCAGTTTCCTCCCAGCAGAGGTTGGACTGAGCCCCGGGGGGGGCCAATGTTGCTCTCTGGCCCTGGCTGGTCCTCTTAAATCTGCGTTCCCGCAGTCTGCGGTCTATTTAAATGGCCAAGGCAATGAGGTCCTCCAAAGAATCGGGTAGGCCTACCCGAGCTAACTCATCCTTAAGAGCCTCGGAGAGCCCTATGCGGAACTGGTGGTGTAAGGCAGCGTTGTTCCACCGGTTATCCCCCATCCATCGTGTAAATTTGATGCATATTCCTCCGCTGCCTGGCGGCCTTGTCTGAGGGAGTACAGGGCCGTTGATGAGGAGGCTGCCCGCTGCGGATCATCATACAACATGGCCATTGCGTCAAAGAAATCCGTTACCGTTTCCAGGTGGGAATCGTGGGTCTCCATCAGTCGGTGAGCCCATCCTTGGGGGTCATCCTGGAGCAGAAACACGATGAATCCCACCTTAACTGACTCTGTGGAAAATGTGCGTCTTGACGGCTTGGGTCAGAGCCGCCAGGTGCTGGCATATGTCCTCTAGTGGGGGTGGCCCTCTTCCAGGCTCTGTAATGGCCGTTTGGTACTGTAATATACCACCTGGCGGTACCTCTAGCAATCCATGGAATAGGATTCCCCAGAGCGCGGAGACTAAGTCCCAGTCTGCTTGTTCACCAGGGCCCCTGATGGTGGGGATGGACTTGGACCAGACAGAGACCAGGTCGCGGCCCCTGAGTACACCCACCCGTGGTAGAGGAATCCGCCAGAGGTATCTGCAGGATGAGAGCCTGATGTGAAGAGGCGGATGGGCCCGAGCAGGATGGATGGATGGATGGATGGCTGAGCAGAAGCATGGTCAGACAGGCCGAGTCGGTAACCGTGGGGGCAGCGTGGTACAAGGCAGCAGGCAGAGAATGGTCGGGTCACACGCCGGGTCAGTAACAGAAGGACAGATCCAATGAGGGACATCCAAAGAGAGGTCAGGCAAGCCAGGGGTCAGAGCAGGAGAATACAGCACGGTCAGGAACAATCCGGGTCAGCAACAATCACAATAGCACAGATACAGTAGCAGGAACACAGAATAGACCAAACGGCAACCAGTGTCAGCGCAGAGCGGATTTAAATACTGCGCCCTGCGCTGTCATTGGTGTCAGGTGAGCACCCGCGGTCCCGAGTGCGCATGCGCAAGTTCGGTCTCTGCCGCGCGGCCGGCCAGGACCTAGTGCCCACACACCAGTGCGAATCGGCACACTGTGCCTGCGCCGAGCCACACGCCGTGGCGGCTCCTGACAGGTATGTACATGAGAGGAGTGTGGAAGGTATGAAAAAAAGGCTGAATTTACAGGAAAGGAGTGTGGAGGGTATGACAGAGAGTAGTATGTACAGGAGAGGAGTGTGGAGGGTGTGACAGAGAGTAGTATGTACAGGAGAGCAGTGTGGAGGGTGTGACAGAGGGCAGTATGTACAGGAGAGGAGTGTGGAGGGTATGACAGAGGGCGTATGGACAGGAGAGGAGTGTGGAGGGTGTGACAGAGAGTAGTATGTACAGGAGAGCAGTGTGGGAGGGTGTGACAGAGGACAGTATGTACAGGAGAGGAGTGTGGAGGGTATGACAGTGGACAGTATGTGCAAGAGAAGAGTGTGAGGAGTATGACAGAGGCAGTATTTACAGTAGAGGTGTTTGGAGGGTATGACAGAGGCGGTATGTAGAGGAGAGGAGTGTGGACGATATGACAGAGGGCAGTAGGTACAGGAGAGGAGTGTGAAGGGTATGACAGAGGGTAGTATATACAGGAGAGGAGTGTGGAGGGTATGACAGAAGGGCAATATGTACAGGAAAGGAGTGTGGAGGGTGTGACAGAGGGCAGTATGTACAGGAGGGGAGTGTGGAGGGTGTGACAGAGGGCAGTATGTACAGGAGAGGAGTGTGGGGGGGGACAGAGGGCAATATGTACAGGAGAGGAGTGTGGAGGGTATGACAGTGGACAGTATGTGTAAGAGAAGAGTGTGGGGAGTATGACAGAGTGCAGTATTTACAGTAGAGGTGTTTGGAGGGTGTGACAGAGGGCAGTATGTACCGGAGAGGAGTGTGGAGGGTGTGACAGAGGACAGTATGTACAGGAGAGGAGTGTGGAGAGTATGAAAGAGGGCAGTATGTACAGGAGAGGAGTGTGGAGGGTATGACAGTGATCAATATGTACAGGAGAGTAGTGTGGAGGGTGTGACAGAGGGCAGTATGTACAGGAGATGAGTGTGGAGGGTATGACAGTGATTAGTATGTACATGAGAGGAGTGTGGAGGGCATGAAAGAAGGCTGAATTTACAGGAAAGGAGTGTGGAGGGTATGACAGAGGGCAGTATATACAGGAGAGGAGTGTGGAGGGTATGACAGAGGGCAGTATGTACAGGAGAGGAGTGTGGAGGGTATGACAGAGGGCAGTAAGTATAGGAGAGGACTGTGGAGGGTGTGGCAGAGGGCAGTATGTACAGGAGAGGGGTGTGGAGGGTGTGGCAGAGGACAGTATGTACAGTAGAGGAGTGTGGAGGGTATGACAGTGGACAGTATGTACAGGAGAGGAGTGTGGGAGGGTGTGACAGAGGACAGTATGTACAGGAGGAGTGTGTGTGGAGGGTATGATAGAGGGCAGTATGTACAGGAGAGGTGAGGAGTATGTGGAGAGGGCAGTATGTGACAGAGGGGAGCATGTACAGGAGAGAGGGCAGCAGTGTGGAGGATATGGCAGAGGGCAGTATGTACAGCAAAGGGGTGTGGAGGTTGTGACAGAGTACAGTATGTACAGGAGAGGAGTGTGGAGGGTGTGAAAGAGGGCGGTATGTACAGGAGAGGAGTGGGGAGGGTATGACAGAGGGCGGTATGTACAAGAAAGGAGTGTGGAGGGTATGACAGAGGGCGGTATGTACAGGAGAGGAGTGGGGAGGGGGTATGTACAGTGAGGTATGTACAGGAGAGGTGGAGGGTATGACAGAGGGCGGTATGTACAGGAGGGGAGGGTGGAGGGTATGACGGGGGGGCAGTATGTACAGGAGAGGAGTGTGGAGGGTATGACAGAGGGCGGTATGTACAGGAGAGGAGTGTGGAGGGTGTGACAGAGGGCGGTATGTACAGGAAAGGAGTGTGGAGGGTATGACAGGGGGCAGTATGTACAGGAGAGGAGTGTGGAGGGTATGACAGGGGGCAGTATGTACAGGAGAGGAGTGTGGAGGGTATGACAGAGGGCAGTATGTACAGGAGAGGAGTGTGGAGGGTGTGACAGAGGGCAGTATGTACAGGAGAGGAGTGTGGAGGGTGTGACAGAGGGCAGTATGTACAGGAGAGGAGTGTGGAGGGTATGACAGTGGGCAGTATGTACAGGAGAGGAGTGTGGAGGGTATGACAGAGGGCAGTATGTACAGGAGAGGAGTGTAGGATATGACAAAGGGCAGTATACGTAGAAGAGGATTGTGAAGGGTATGAGAGAGACAAGCATTATGATTACGTAAGGAGTGTGTAGAATATGGTGGCAGGTAAAGGAAATGGACAAAATTTTTGATCTTATTTTAGTATCAAAGCTAAGGAAGCAGAAGGGAACTATAAGGGGGTATAACTGCCTGTAGCAAGATGAAGTGCTCAGAATAGATGAGATGCCCGGAAGGGAGGTGAAGTTCTGTTCTGTAGAAAAGCACTGATGTGGTCTTCCATATAATAGCATCTGTGGCCGTCATTTTGTTTATTACCACAGCAATATTTCACTGTAGAGCACAGAGTGATGTGTCGCTATGCTGATGTCAGCTCTCTTGGATATCTATAGAAATGGCAGCTGGGTTATCCCAATACTAGATTGCACGGGCTCACAGAAAACAAATGGCTGCCCACTAATAACATCAATTCCTCATTAGAACTTTATTGAGCCAGCTGTTGTCTCCACCTGAAGACCATCCTTCTCTGACATGTTTCACTATTTTTTTTTTTTATTCCATAAAAGTTTATTTAGAAGTGACAACATGTTACAGGAAAATATAAAGAAATGCACACACAGCATCAATGGCCATTGACACAGCTTAAACCAAATACAAGACGAAAACAACATGGTAGAGTGCGACACTGTGAAAAACATAAGCATGTCAAGGTACGGCAGAGATAGGCCTGTAGTACTCAAGTTACACAAATGTACAATATAGAAGGTAATCACAGCTTACTTCCAACAATTGAGTATTGGCGTACTGGCCTATGCATGGAGGAAATGAACCTTCGGAGTCTAAACCAAAAGCAGTACGCTATCATAAGGCTAATTGAGCATCGCAGTATAAGAGAAGATGTCGTGAGTACCATTGACTACTCTAGAGGAGATAAGCTAACCATATACCAAGTATTCAAAGAAATAAACGTAGAATGAAAGAAGTGAACTAAGCCTGATCGAAGACTGAGAGCTTGTCGAAAGAAAGAAAGAGAAAGAAAAAAATTTCGAATAGAAAGAAAAGGGACAAGAAAAGGAAAAGAAATGGGAGTCATAGTAGAGAGAGAGGAGAGAAAGAGGGAAGAAAGATTGCACGGAAAAAAAAACAAAAAAAAAGAGGGGGGGGGAAGGGGGAAATAGGGGGGGGGGGGAGAGGGAGAAGGGGGGATAAGAGGCAAGAAAAACAAAAAAAAAAAAAAAAAAAAAGGGGGGGGGATTGAAGCAAGGGGAAGCGAAAGGTCTGGGCTCTGATATGTTTCACTATTATGGGCTCAGTCCTTTACATGGAATGGTAGTGAGAAGGATTCCTTCATACAACATACAATCAAAATGCACAAAATCTTTAAAGAGACACAACCTGGATAGACACTTACATTTTTTGCTTGTAAATCGTTGAACAGACTTAACCAGGAATGTCAAAATTAAAAAAAAAAGAGGACACAAATGCCTAGTGAATTATCTTCATAAAGTTTTGCAAGAAACTGAACTGCAAAAATATACCAACGATTGGCCATAACGCTAACAGCATTGAATATAGCAGAGCCCCGGGGCTGACAATGAAGCCGAGATGTGGGGGTCGTATGCAGAGATCTAGGCATCACTCAAGATCAGATGTAAATGCTGACACTTTTCGAGGGACAAGTGGAAGCAACTGAGAAAGGCGGCCAGTCCCTCAAAATGTGTCGGTTTTATGTGTGCACTTCATTTAAGCCTAGATCTCTGCACAAAACCTCTACATCTCGGCTTCATTGTCAGCACTTGGGTTCTGCTATATTCAATGCTGTTAGCATTATGGCTATTGTGAGAATGGTTTTGCACTTCACTTTCCTCCAGGGGCAGACTGACCATTTGGAAACTCAGGCACTGCCCGAGCGCCCAGGGTCAGTAAGGGGCCCATGAGATGCCCCTGCTACCTTTTTCATAGGCTTTTTTGAGTTTGGGTGAGGACACAGGGGCCCCATGATCCCCTATTGCCCGGGGGCCCTATGAGTTGTCAGTCCGCCTCTGCTTTCCACCCAGCCTAATGTAATAATATGGCCAGGGACGTGCTTTATTATCCTGGGTGGATGTCATATGACGTCCTCCCGCTCAAGTGCCTTGTGTAACGCAGTAGCACAATTTGCAAATACATATCGTTGCACCAAGTCACAGTTCAAGGTCCTGGTACCATGTGATCTCTGTGACCAATCACAGAGGTCCCATGTCAGTTGAAACAATGGCTTTTGTTTATTGTTTACGTGTACTTGTGCACTATTGTGATATCTGTGATTGGAAACAAGTGATCACATGGTACCAGGGTCAATCACAGAGGACTTATACATGTTATACCTGTGCCCAATCACAGCTCTCACAATAGTACACAATGGCATATAAATGGATGTCATTCACAGTGTAAAAAGTGATTGCTTACACAGTGATCATCACAGTGTAAAAAAAAAAACCCTGATCACCTTCCTAGGGCAGTACAGTGTCACCGCTCTGGTGGCAGTATGAAAGAAAAATTGTGCCAAAAAATTACAACTTCAAAAACTCATCATGGCTCTTACTAAATACCTTGGGATTTCAACTTTTCAAAAAGGGTTCATTTGGGAGATATTTATACCGTCCTGACATTTATGGCCTCCAGAAAGGAAATCGGTTGTCAGTACGCTAGGATTGATCAATTTTCAAATACTGTATATACTGTAGTCTGTAGACTCTAACTTTTTACACACGACCGAATAATATACACTGATTTTGGGTTATTTTTTACCAAAGAAATGTAGCAGAATGCATTTTGGCTTAAATTTATGAAGAAAAATTATTTATATTATTTGCAAACATTTCTAACAGAAACTAAGAAAAATGCTTTTTTTTCCACATTTTTGGCATCTTCTCATTTATATAGCAAAAATAAATAAATACATACATAAAAAAACAGTGGTGAATAAATACCACCAAAATACATTTCTACCTAAAAAAAATATGATACACATATATTTTGAGTGCAGCATTGCATGACTGAGTAATTGGCATTCAAAGTGTGACCATGCTGAAAGCATAAAATTGGCCTGGACTGGAAAGAGGTTAAACATTTTTAAGGTAATGCACTAGATGTTTGCATCCTTTTATTTTAACATTTTATTTTTCAACAGAAAGGCTTTTCCAATTGGAAGAGGGCAGCATCAGTGAAGAATTACCCATTTTTAAAGTGAATGGCTGTGATTATGATGATTATCATTATACAGGATTTATGGCGCCAGCAGTTTGCTCAGCACTTTACAATATAATGGGACAATACAGCAACAATACAGTTCAATACAAGAGGGTTAGGAGGGCCTGATCCTGGGAGCTTACAATCTAAGAGGGAGGGGCTAGTGGTACAAAAAGTAATAACTGTGGGGGATAGACTGGTAGGAGAGATAGAAGATTCCGTTATTAGCTGAAGGCAGGATAGGCTTCCCTGAAGAGATAGGTTATCTGAGATCGCCTAAAAGTGAGCAGAGTAGGTGATAGTCTGATAGATTGGGGTAGAGAGTTCCAGAGGATGGGGAGGCTCTGGAGAAGTCCTGGAGATGAGCATGGGAGGAGGAGACAATGGAGCAGGAGGTCATGCGAGGAGCAGAGATGACGGTTTGGGTGATATTTGGAGACCAGATTGGTGATGTAATTTAGGGAGGAGTTACAAATGACTTTATGTTATTGTTAATGTTTTGAAATTTATTCGTTGGGCAACAGGAAGCCAGTGGAGGGATTGGCAGAGGGGGATGGCAGATATGGAACGGTTAGTAAGGTGGATGAGTCTGGCAGCAGCATTCATGATAGACTGAAGAGGGGATAGCCTGCGATGAGGTCGGCCAATGAGGAGGGAGTTACAATAATCAAGGCAAGATATAACAAGGGAGTGAATAAGTTGCTTAGTAGTTTTCGAGGTTAAGAATGGGCGTATCTTGGAGATGTTGCAGAGGTCAAGTCTACAAGATTTGGACAGTGATTGGATTTGGGGCTGGAAGGACAGATGGGAGTCTAGGATTACACCTAGTACCCTGGCATGAGGATAGGGACTGATGGTTGTGTTATTGATCTTGATGGAGAAGTCAGGGGAGGGGGCACGGGCTGGAGGGAATAGTATGAGCTCCATTTTGGAAAGATTTAGTTTGAGGAAGTGGAGTGACATCCATGCCGATATGTCACTTAGTAGGTTAGTAATGCGAGAGGAGACTGAAGGGGTGAGGTGTAGAAAGATAGATTTGTGTTTCATCCACATATAGATAATACTTAAAGCCATGGGATGGAGTTGTCGGGGATCCCTCTGTGCAGCCGTGCAATGATCCCTTCTGGCCACGGTGGTGCGGGTGCGGGGCGGGAGCGTGCGGGTGCGCATGTGCAGAAGCGTGCGAGTGCGCACATGCGCAGTAGTATACATGTCAAGATGGGCTATTTAACCTGCAATACAGTTTAGTCAATGCCTTCTGGTCTATAACATTTTGCACTCCATAACCTGATTCTGTTGCCTGTATCTGATCTGATCTGACTAAGAAAGAACTCTTCCTGCACCAACCCCGGCTTATCCCTGACTATCCGCTTGTCTGCTCCCTTGTACTTGATTTGCTCGTTTGATCCTGACCCGGCTTGTCTGACTCTGCTATACATACTTACCTGCTACTGCACCTGGCCTGTATCCTGATTGCTGCCATACTTACCTGCTGCTGCATTCACATTCCTGCATCCTCACCTGGCCTGAATCCAGATCTCCTGGGTCTTCACCTTCCTGCCACCAGCTCCAGACCCACCAGGCACTCGTGCCACTCCTGGCTCTGTGCCCTCTGTTCCCACTATCAGGGGCTCTGAGCGGGAGTAGTAAGAGGACGTCTCCTCTCCATGTCAGGCTCCCCAATCAGGTACGTGACAGGAGTTAATCAAGTGACCAAGGTAGGAGGTGTAGATGGAAAAGAGAAGGGGTCCAAGGATAGAACCTTGAGGGACCCCTACAGAAATAGGAAATGGAGAGCAGGAGACAGAGTTATAGGTAACGCTGAAGGAGTGCTGCGATAGGTAGGAGGAGAACCAGGAGAGAGCAGAGTCTTGTAGGCCAAGAGAGTGGAGTTTTTTGAGGAGGAGGGGGATGGTCAACAGTATCAAAAGCAGAGAGGTCAAGTAGTAAGAGTATGGAGAAGTGGACATTAGTTGTAGCAGTTAGTAAATCAATAGTGAGTTTTAGTACGGTAGTTTCAGTGGAGTGTAGTGAGAAAAAGCCAGACTATAAAGGGTAAAGAAGGTTGTTGTCGGTGAGGTGGGAGCTCGGACGATTGTAGACTAAGCGTTCTAAGAGTTTAGAGGTAAACA